ACCATGCTTTGAATAGTGTTACCTCCTTTAGGGTTTTGGTAGAGAGTCTATTCTGCAGGAAGACAGCTGTGTTTGCTGCTTCTACCTAGAACTCTTTTGGTAGTTCCTTCTCATGCAACATACATCGAGCCATCTCTAAAATAGATCGGTTTCTTCTGTCACTGACTCCATTTTGCTAAGGAGTATATGAGCAGTGAGTTGATGTTCGATCCCTGTATCCTGATAAAAAGAGTTGAACTCTACAGATATGTATTCTCTGCCATTATCTATCCTCAAGGTTTGGATTTTGCATCCACTTTGATTCTCCATAAGGTTTTTAAACTTCTAGAAAACCTCTGAAACCTCTAACTTGAGCTTGAGAAAGTAAATCTAGCACATTCTTGTAAAGTCATCTATGAACAGAATGAAATACAAGTTACCTTGATGTGATAGAGTTCTCTAAGGTCTAGCAATGTCAGAGTGCACAAGCTTCAACTTCTTAGTTGCTCTCCAGGTGGAGGATTCAAAAGATTTCCTACTCATCTTTTAAATTGACAGGCACTACATTTGAGGTTACAGCAGCAAGATCGGGTAATCCTTCGCACAAGCCTCTTGAATCCAACATCCTCTATATATGACAGTGGCCCATCCTCTTGTGCCACACTTCTGTCTCATTTTTTTGCAAAACAAATGCTTCATACTCCTCCTGTACAGGATCAAAAGAGAAGCTTTTCCCTTCATCTTGACCCTTAGTACTTCCTTCCCAGCAGAGTTGTGGATGAAGCAGTTATTTCCTTCAAAAGTTATCCTATAGCCCTTGTCCATTAGTTGCCCCACACTTAGCAGATTTTTATCAATTTCAGGCACAAAGAGAACATCATGAATTGTCTTTGTGTCTGATTTTATGGTAATTGCGACTATTTGCTTGCCTTTCACAGCAAGACGTCTTCCATCTCCAATCTTGACCAGCTTCACTTCAGTTGGATCAAGCTTCTTGAATAATGACTTGTCATAAGCATGTGGTTTGAACACCCATTATCAATCAGCCAACTTTCAAAGGCAGTGTTGGTTGCATAGCATTGGATTGTAAACATTTGATCATCATCTTCATCGTGTTCTGCAACCTTTACTTCTTCTTACTTTTGATCCCTGCAAATTACAGCTTCATGCCTAGTTGATTGCATTACTTTGCATCAGGTCTCTTCCAGCATTTGAAGGGTGGATGACCCTTCTTTCCATAGTGCTTAAAAGGTGGAAAGTTCTTCTTGAAGTCTTTGTTCCTGGATGCTGACTGATTACTGCTAGAGCCTTCTGCTCCTTGAGATTGCTTTTTGATGAAGCTTTTCTTCTTGACTGACCATGAAGCCTATGATCTTGTAGCCAATACACCTTCCACCGCAGACTCTTGCCACATCAGTCTCCTTTGTTCTTGAGCTTGTAAGGCATGAATAAGCTCTGACAAAGTGATCTTTGAAAGATCCTTTGTATTTTCCAACGTAGTGATCGAAGCTTCATACTTTTCTGGTGCTGTGACCAGAATCTTTTCAACCACATGAGAATTAAAGAA